AGTCTGTAGTTGTCATCAGGAGGGAAAATGAAGCTTGCTTGTTTGGTTAGTGTCGTGAGAAACCTGAGATGGAATTACAGCCTTATGAGCGTTCATATTTTATGATGTCTCATCCAATTAGAAAGAACTTATTTTTAAACTATTTATTTTACCTGTTTGCAGGCCTTTTCTAAAGCAGCCTCTTCTGCCTTGCACTCTCATGTTACTGGCTCCCTGTCCTCTTACACTATTCTAGTCTGGTAGACTCTGGGCCAACTGATATCTAGGCTTTTTTAAGGAGTATTTATGATTAAACCCAGCTGTAAATCTATTCCTACCACTTTTGGACAGATATGGTCCTGCCTGAAGTGGTAACTTTATTAGAAGATCTGCGGGTCAGTTGAAATCTAAATTTAGAAGCAAAGTGGTGGGGGAAGTGCACAATCCAGTTCAGCTCTGCCAGATAATAGGTCTGATAACAGATATTTTATGTCAGGTGTCCAGGTGAGACCAGGTTTAGGTGAGACCAGATGCACAACCTCTTTGAACCTGAGCTATAGGACAAACTCTGTAAACTGCCTGACACCTGGTCTTACTGGAGTTACTCAAAAGGCACAGGCATATGAGGCAACAGTGCATATTTACCTATTTTTTCCTATTAAAAAAATGAATTTGACCAAATGACTGTGAAAATCTTCAGTAGGCCTTCAGAATAGCAAGAGATTTGGCTGACTAGGTTTGAAGACCATCTCTCAACATGTTACTTTTATAACATCCATGACTATTGTATCTGCATGTGTGTTGCTCAGCTCCAAAACAGCTATAGAAATGCAGCCAAATACACATGAATATAAAATACACTCAAAGTAATTGCCATGTTTATATAAATTGGTGCCTTCTGTGTGCCACAAAACCCCAACAAACTGTTAACTCCAGCAGAGCCAGTAAGCTGATAGATGCACACGGCAGTGGAGGGGCAGTTTGACTCCCCAGCAGAAAACCAAACAAGCAGAACCAGCTTATCATTATTGACAGTTAATGACTAATTAGCAGTGACCCCAAGGATGCAAATGAAAGGAGAAAGAACAGCAGATTTAGGGAATCCTTTTTTCCTCCTTCTTGAGTTCTTTAAGTGTAAAATACTGCACAAATTCGTTAGGAAATACATCAGGGACATTTTAATTGTGATTTGCCCAGAATGAAAAAGATGGTTCCCATTCAAGCTAATAGTACTGACCCAAGGTGAAGGAGTTAATCCTGAGCTGTCCGTTTGCTAGTGGCAATCCCATTAAAACGCTTATTTGCTCAGCAGCCTCCTACCTTAAACAAATAGGAGGACAAACAAACACAATGAGAGAAACCTATTTTGCTCAGAGCCATGGCAGGAGCTGGTGAAATTGGCCTTTTCTCGTCTGCATACAAGTGACTCAAAAATGATTAAAGACATAGCTTCTGGGAGTGCAAACGTCAGCAGTGCTCCCTGGGAGCCAAGTTATTGTCTATTTTCTCCTGCAATGTGCTCCCTTTATCCTGGCGCTATGCCCTGGTCAGAGCTGGGGCACAGTGCAGTCTGAAGTGAAGTGCAGTCTAAAGTGGATTTTGCTACCTTGAAGTTCAGGGCCCATCTCCTAGTGCTCCGTGCCACAGTGTCAGCGCTCTCCCTCTTCGGGATGGCTGACCCAGCAGCACTGCTGCCGCGCGCGCACCCTGATTTCTCCCTTGACAGAAGCACCGCAGCCAGCCTGCCTTCACAGCGCTTGGGTTGAGGCAAGAAGGGCTGTTTTGTTGTCCTGATGTTGTTGCAGCTAACGCCCCGCTTTGTCTGTGACTAGAGTCCGGGAGGAAATGAGCTGGGCGCTCTCCCTCTAGTCGGGTGAACCAGCAACCTGTGTCCCTTTCTGCAGCCTGTAAGCCCTGCCACGGTGACACTACTCAGTCGCTAGAGCTTTGCTTCTGCTAAGAGACTGTAAATATGTGCCTTTTGTTCATCAAGCAAGTATAATGCTAAATGGAAACTGTGCAGTGCATGATGGGGAGCACAAGACACTACTACAGCTTTCATTTGAACAAAGGACATGACTGCTCTGGCAATAAGAGAATAATGGCTGTTTAATTTCTCCAGACAGGGACTGTAGCTCACTGGTTTTTTTTGGGTTCTTGTTTAGATTTTGTTTTTGCTCCAATTTTTAAGGATGAGAATGTTGTGTCTGACGCATGTCAGCAAGCAAAGGAGATTCACTAGCATAGCTGGGTTCATCTTGCTCCCCTGTGAGGAATAAAAGCATTAACCGTCTCTCACTTCAGCAGAGGAAGGGAGGGCTCTTTTCAGCTTGCGGGAAGTGAGAAGGCATTGTCAGGTTTAGGTCAGGCTGGAGCACAGGGCTGTGTGGCGCGCTCAGCAGGACAGATTAGTTGGGTGTCGCACGGCAGCCTGGAGGCATCATTCAGGAAAAGTAAGAGAGAAGTGTGTGTGTGCAGGGAGGGGGGCGAAGACTGCCATCTCTTGTTTCGCTGCAAGGCTGTTCTCTGCAGTGATGATCTTTCTGGAAAGCAGATTCAGAAAGAGGGGTTGAATAAAGAGCTTTTATCAAGGAAACAGAGAGGGAATGCCTACCTCTATAATCCCTACACTGGAACTCTAAAAAATATTTTTCTGAGCTGTTAAAAACATTTCTTTAAAGGAGTCCTGCTCAGCCATGTTTAATCTGAACCTGTTATCAGTAAGGCCTGATCCTCCAGTTAATTCCACCCTGTATAGTTGGTGTCAGCGGAGCTACATAACAGTGTAAGACTAGGGGGAAGAGAGGGAATTATGTCTGTTTCATAGTTACATCTATTTTTGTACTTTGAAGATCTCAGTTATTTCAAGCACAGCTTCTTTTGCGAAGTAGATGAAGTACGAGGGAAAAATATGAAGGAAGGGGCCAAATTCAAGTTAAGTCAATTGTGGGCTAACATACACACCCTGGGACCAAAAGGTATGGTTTAAACCAATGCAAACATGTTGTACTGACTCATCACTTCTAAGCTTCAGCCAGACTTCAGTATAGCTATATAATTGTGCTGTGCACCTACACTGAAACAGGCTGCATAAAGTTACCATATGATAAATAAAAGGTAGGGCTGGGAACAGAGACCTGGGGAGCTGGCTCACAAATCATAAATGCAAGACTATGTCAATTTTTTTCCCTCAGTTCCTGGACTCCAGGTGTGCTGATGTGATCCCTTTTCTTCTCTCTATTCCAAAACAGTTAAAATAAATACAAATGTGAAAATAGTAGCTTACCTTATTCTTGCAATATTCATGCAATGGCCATTGAGCTCAGTTCAGCATTAGTCACTGAATTCCACCGACAGAGTTGTAGAAAATCTTTGCTTTAGGCTTTAAAGATCCTTTGACTTAAAGGGTTCAGAGCAAGGATAAGCACCTTCAGTTGGGTAGACTTGGTTCTGGCCTGTGCCTGGTCCAAAGTTTGGATCAGCATCCAAATACTCAAAGGCTGGGGTGTCGTGGAGCTTCAGATTCTGCTTCAGTACGGTTTTTATTGCAACACTGAGAATGCCTAAGAAACGTGAGGCAACCTGAGATGCTGTCTTCTCTACCTTAGTCATAGGAAGGTTGGATTGGAAGAAATTTCACGTAACCATCCATTTTATCTCTTTGCCTGTGGCAGTATCAACTTACGCTTGTATCATGTTTTTTTCTGCTGGTTATTCTAAAACATGGAGCTAGTATTATAAATTTAAATTTCATTTAAAATTGAATAATGACAGTGGCATTTGTGAAACTATTCTCTGCTGAAATGTTTTGCTTGTTGTGGACTTGACATTTTTAAATTGTGGGAAAATGAAGCAAGAACTTGGACAGAATTTTCTGAGTTTGTAACCACGGAATGGAGAACTTAATATTTAGTATTGACTGAAAGGAAAAAAAATCCCCACTTTTGAGTGATTACCTTTTCTTCAGCTATCCTTAAAATCTTGAGCTTTTTGTTACTGATGCAAGTCAGGAGTAACAAACTTAAAAGATATGACAGGTAATTATCCTTAGAGATTCTCTCCAAAATAAGGATATTTTAATGTATTGTACTATAATGCACCTGGCACATCTCTTCCGTAAGATGTAACCTCTATTATGCATTTCCTAAGAGTAGAAAGTGTGCTTATTCCAGGTTCAGATTTTTCAGATGCTCTCATCTCTAAAGAAAATGCACTAAAAAGTAACAACCAGCCTTTGTTCTATAATTTTCTATGCTGTTGCTAAACACAGTTTTTTTTTTTTTTTTTGTACTTGTAGAAGGTTTACTGGGGCTGCCTAATGTTACTTTTGAGATCAATGTACTGATTTAAGAATAACTAAGGCATTAAAGGCTGGAAAAATCTTCCATTGGGACCAGACATAATGCTTTTTGCTAACCTGTTTTGCAGCCATCTGAAGAGAGGATGTTCTGAAGGATATGCTGCATCACATGTCCAGCTGGAACTTTGCATGTTATGGTAAATACAGCTGCATTTGTTTAAGTGATTAGGAATTAAAATTAACCTGCTGTGTTTACCTTTATGTCTGATCCCATCTGATTCTCCTCTTCTGAACATCTGGTAAACTGCCTCCCTGAAAGCTGACATTGCTGTCCATAAGCTACAGTGTTGCATGGTAGCAATCTCTAAGCCATGGCACTTTGTGGATAATGCAAAGGAAAAGACAGGTGTTTTAAAATACTTGTCGTGAATTCCACTACTGGTTTCTCTGCAAGACTGGTGGTAGGCGTCCAGTGGCTTACCATGATCTTGTGATTGTTCTGGGCTTTTCATGCTCTGACAGAGCCAGTAAAACCCAGTGCTCAGACTGATAAGCATGTCCCACTTTATATGTGGCAGCATTATAGTCTTTCTGCACTGAGATGAAAAGCTGCCCTGTGGTACTGTTCAGGTTATACCAGAGAATTTCCAGTTAGAAACCTTTCTGGAAATAAATCCACCATGGAGACATTTGGGAAAAAGCATTCTTTTAATCTCTTGGACTTGTCTTTGTGTTACAGAACAAGGCTTGAGGCCTGCGTAGGCAGACTGAAACCCTAAGGTCAATACTATCTCCAGTTCTTCTGACTAAAATAATGACCCTTTCCTGGGTTATGGTTCACTGGTGCAACATGAATCAGATCTTAGCCATGTGTATTGTTCTCATGGGGTTTCTAGTTTTGTTTTTAATTTATTTCCTGATATGGCTTAGCTGCTGGTCTTTCCCATGTATGATGGAGAAGAGTGAAGGGCTGATGTTTTGCTCACTGGAAACTTGGATAGTTTCAAAACGCAACAGTATCATTTTATAGTACAGTTCAATTTATTACGCTATGGTCCTATGAAAGAGTTTGACATGCTTTCAACTAGTTAAATAACAATTTGTTGGGATGTGAAAACCACAGGAGTCGGGAAGGAGATAATAGTCTGTTAGTGGGCCTTTATCAGTCTTGGTACACTGACGCTTACCATTTCAAGGGGAGCTAAACACAACATATTTAGGAACCTAATGCAAGAAATGACCCAGACAGGGTTCTTCATGGGAGTACAGATTTCTGGTCTGGTTGCCAATGACTACGTTAGACTAGCGTTTGTTGCTTTGGTACTTTGTAGAACATGGAAGAAACCACAAAGGATCCTGCACTACCGAGAGAATTGGGGAGTGAGTGGGGAGACTTAGGTCACCAAAATAGGATTTTTGTTATTATTACTATCTCCTCTGTCTTGTATGACAAGTGATCTCAGTGTGAAAGTTGCTTCAGACTGGGCAGAGTAGACAAAAGCAGGAAACGGGGAGACAGTGTATTTTGCACAATATTAAGACTCCAATGGGTATCCATTAGGACAGTCACAGCATGTAACTTTATAGAAATGTCTCCTGTAGAATAGTGGTGAGATTTATTCTCTAAGTGGCCACTTCTTACAGTAGTTAAATCAATTGGCTATGCACATGCAGTGGTTGCTTTTCATTTTGCCTTTCTCAAAACATATATCAACACTTGCGTGGTGACTGCAATTTCAGTAGTGCTGCTTACTCAGAATCACCACTTCAGTACGATCTAATCAAAAAACTTTATTCTCTGATGCAAAATGTGTTTTCAATAACAATCTTTCAAGTCTGAGCCCCCTGTAAAACATCTTGTATTAGTGAAATTACAAATAGCAAGTGCCAGTTCTATGTCAGTTCTAACAGCACAGAAAGGAACACAATGTGAAGAAAAATGCAGCAGGTTTTTGCCACTTAATTTTGTTGTTTACAAATCAAGCAAGTGCTTGTGAGCAAGATAATTCTGATTTCATACTCGTTCAATTTAAAACCAATTGTTCTGTAAACCTCTACTATTATTTCGTCATGCTTCCGGAAAAATATATACAGGCACACACCCACTGTGGCAAAAGATGGATGACATGCGTTTTCATGTCTTGCTGTGGAGAATGTTATCAAATACAGTAAGACTTTTGCTGATGAAATTCTGAAAGCTTCACCCATGGTTCCTGTTTAAAACTGAGTCTACTACGAAAGAACTCGTTGTTCTACAAACAACAGTCAAAAGGCAGGATGACTTCAGTTATCTGAAACAACTTAGCTAAGGAAGAAATTGATATATCACTTTGCTATTGTGATCCTTAGACCACTAAAAGCTTTATGAAAGATCATACAAAATGAAACTTAGATTGACACATAGAACACATCTAAATACACCTCATCCTACTTTCAAATTTTGGTTAAAAATAAACAGCAGAGCTTTATGTTTAGAAACATCCCATTCTGCTCTGACTTGTACAGAAGTGTAGGCCAAAGAAATGTATATAGAATTGCAATTGTCTGGACTTTTGCTGCATTTATGAAGTGATTTCATTTTTTTGAAGCATTTCCCCAGTGTGTGCACTGAGTTTACTAACACTGTCCTGACCTTAGAGATAGTGTGCTCTTTTACAGTGTGCAGTGACATTTATGTGCCCAACTTGGCTCCAGTAAATAGGTTAATTTCCAGATTTGAAACATAAAGCAATTTAATAATTCTGCACTGTCCTTTTGGGATTCACGGTTGGGGCAATTGATTGGGCAGTCCTTTAGCAGTTGCAAATTCACAACAGCTACACAAATTTTTGAGGTAGAAAAGGTCAAACTGAAAGTTTTGGGACAAGAAAACAGGTTTGTAGTTTCACGTGTTCTCTTACACAAGCAATTAATGCAGTTATGCTAGAGGAAGTAGTTCAAATTTTAGACAATATACCTTACACATTCCAAATTTAGGCTATATCAAAGTATCTCCTGAGGTAAATGTACCTTAAATGATGGAAAGTATAATAATGATAATAAAAAACCCTTACTGTTGGTACATAGTTAATATTCAGGCATTGGGCATAAGCTTCAGAAATGCCTAACTGTAGATGGCGGACAAAGAGCTTGTTTTGACTTTTGAAAATCAAACCATGACTCATGGATGTGAATTTTGCTTCATATAAACATCTCCTGGATATTGGATGCCAGCTTTGGTTCTTCTATGTAACATTTCTAAAGTAAAATAAAAACAGTGGTCCTGAAGCTTCCCTTTTCATTTAGCCTTTTTACAGTAGTTCCTGAATTCACTGATTTTGTTGCTACTCAGATAAATCTTTACTCTACCTGTTTAAATCGGACAAGAATAAAGGATCTATACCTGATCTTAAAATAAGTTGAACCATGTGATAAAACAGAGATAGAAATCCAGCAACAACAAGAAAGCACCCTGACTTAAAATACTGTTTTTACAATTATCTTGTTTGTGCAATGAACAGTTTAAACATGTTATAGTGAGTAGCTAAATTGCAATTTAGTTTAAATTTCCAGAGTCTGATTCCAAGTTATTCTTTATTCTGTTTTTTAAGTAACAGAAGTGTCTAAAGTTACTTCTGCTATGTATTCTCATTCTTGGGTGATCTTTCCAAAGGATATGAGTCACTTCTGTTATTTGTAAAGAATATGGAAAAAGTAAAATATTATTTTGTGGGCATTTGGAACTGGATGTTTAAAAAAAAAAGTGGGATGTCGATCATTGTGAGTCATTTCTTGGGAAGAAAGAAAGAACAAACACTAGCAGCTGACCTACTGCTATGAAAGCTAGGGATTTATTGCTGACTCAGGAAGTAGACGTTGATAGCTGCAGAACACAACAGAGATCTTGCAGCAAACTTAAGAGAGGAAAGTCTTTCTCCCTTAAGTAAAGGAGTAGTAAGGAACTGCCTGTGTTGATTTCTTGGAGGCTATTTGTTTAAAAATGTTCTAGGTTAAACATGTTAGCTAACTAGAACTATGGAACCTGCAAATAGTTGCTACAGCTAAATGAGCTACGACTTCTGAATTTCCAGAAGTCCTGGCAAATCTTTGGATAGGTAACGAAGCGTGGGACTACTCGACAGCACTGAGGTATCTATACCAATAACTCCCAGTGCAACCCCTACTGTTAACAGGTATGCCTAATGTAAAATGTAGCTTGCAATACTGCAGTGCTGAGAGCATAAGAGAGCTAGTACTTCAGATTTCAGAAATAAATGAGGTAGTTGTCAGCATTATGTCACATCATCCATTTCACCTGAACGGATATTCATGTCCTTAGCTGTTAACGCCATCACGCTTATCTCTGCTTGCTTTGCTAACGTAATAATGAGTCTCTATAATCTTCTCTACTAATAACCAAGGGAAGTATGTGCCTATTGTATATTAAAAATCTGGGATTCCTCATCACTGACAGGAGGCACCAATTCATGTAGATTTGTCTGAGACTGAGAAACAACACTGATCCAGTGCTTATTCTGTTGATATTTTGATTGACTTTAATGAAAACTTCAACGGTCACCTGCTATTAAGGACCTCATTTGTAGAGCACTGAAATGTATTTAATTTTAAGCCTCTCTACGTTATATTGCAATGAGCTATGTGGTGCAATGCTGTATGTCTGAAAACAGGATATGGGTGAGATTCCACAAGCTTCCTAGCTATAAATGCCATGTGACAAATCTTTCAATCAACGAGTGAGTAGCTTGATAGCCTCAAGGATACCTGGTAGGTTACTCAACAAGCCACTGGTATTGTTTTTGTCTTTTTTTGATTTCTACACAAATATTTGTGAAAATGAGTTTGCCATTACAAATGATTTGATCAAACACATTGTATTTTTACGTAAAATATGCATTAAATGGTGTATGAAGATGGATGGATTTAGAAGTTTTCAGTGGAGGAAAATACTTGTAGTAGGCCAACTTAGTTTTTTTTTTTTTAAATCAACTTACTTTAAGGATTTTAACAGTCTGTTTCTGAGTCTTTCACCAGTTCTGGTGGGTGTAAACATTTCTGATATATTCCTAGCATTCTAAATATTTTGCATCATATTTTTACCTATAGAAACATGCTTAGAAGTTTGCATGCTGATCATTGAATTGAACAATCACAAAACTGTTTTGATAACAAAACTGATTTTTGAAAGTGACTTCTCCACCTTTTGCTAAACAGCATCTGTGTGTTTTATTTATACTGATCAAGCAGCTCCATTGGGATCTACCCAATTACACATTGGTATAATTACACAAAGTACCTGTAAAGCATGCACAATGCAAAAGACAATATATTTAATAATTATGACTTAACTATACGTATCTATGTGCCTAACTGTTATTTCTTAGAGTCAATCAGAGGGCTCACATGGCCACTTCAGATCCTTGAAAAAGGTACCTTTGCAGCTTTGGATTTGAAAGCCATGTTCAAGTTCCAATTCAGGAACAGCTGATCTCCAACCGATAAAACCCTGGGTTGTTTTAGGTACTGGAGGAGATGGATTCACCTAGGATAAAAGTAATACATAGGATTTGGTGATCAAAAAGTCTTTTGACATTAATTTCTGTCATGCTGTCATGCAACATCCTCTTTCACACTGTAGTGTTAAAAATAGGCGTTTTAAATGCAATCTAATCTGATGAATTAATATCCTGAACACACACTGACGTTAACAGAAGGAAATAAGAACTTTGAAAGATTGCCCGTTTGCCAAAGATTTGCCCATAAACCATCCCAATATGGGATGGGAACCAGCCCAATATGGGATGGTTTATAATTTAAAAAGCCTTTAGAATAATTTAGGGCCTATTCTATTAGCAAGACACAGGGAAATAACTAAAGTAGTAAAAATAAGTCAGTAGTAACTGACTTATTTTACCACTTCTTTAAAAAAAAAAAAAAAAGTCTTTTAGTGACTAAATCAGCATGAATAGCAGCAAATTAAAGCGACAGAAAGCTAATCAGAAAATTAAAGGAGAAGTAGGCAATTTATTCTCTAACTGTTATTATTTGGTAGTATATGTTGTTATATTTAGTTTTTACTCTGAGGAAAAGTAAGTAAAGAGAGAAAACAGCACTTTTGCAAGTTGTTAAGGTTTTCAGTACATCTGGTTTATGGTTGCTCATCTATAGTTTTGTTCAATACATTTCTAAGAGCTTTACATGCTTTACATTATTAGGAGAAGAATCTAAGCTTCAGTTTTAACTTTTTTCTTACAGAATAATAATGATTTTTAATCTAGATAACTTCTCTGAACAAGAGTAATAGGCATTTTATATTGGCTGCAATGTATTTGGTAGTGACACAGCTATGGAATAATAGTTCTGAGGCCAAATGCTAAAGATATTACTGACCAAGCTGGCTTTTGCATCAAGGACTGTTTATCCATTCCACTTTCTGCTTTAAAAGATGGGTAAGCATCAAGTTAATCTGCAACTAATCTAGCTAAAAAGGAAACAAAACAAAAGCCAACGGCCTCTGTTCACTGACTGCTGTGCTTACTTTGGCTGAATCATCTCAATTGGGCATGTTGTATCACTTTAGCATCTGGGGACTTACTCAGTAGAGAAATACACAGCAAGAGAACAATGTTTCAGTTCTCTTGCCAGAGTTGCTTCACTTTCTTCTTTGGCCAAGATTAAAAAATGTTTATGATATTTAGGTGGAGCAGTTCTTCTGAAAAGATAATTTTTATGGCCAAAAGTGCCACCCACTGAGCAGGATAATGAAGGAAATCATGCCCCACTTATCATCTGGGGGAAGGGACAATGAAGAAATGATTATAAATCTAACCTAGACAGAAGAACAGATATGATGAGTGTTGCCATGAAGGTAAATGTGCGTAAAGGCACAAACTTCAGCATAAGGACTTAAGAAATTTCAATCTGAATCTGTAAAGGGTGATCTAAATCACAGCTAACCCTTGTCCTCCTTGGTGAATAACGATTCTGAGGTTAAATTGCAACTCTGAGCCCTGTTTCAGTATGCACCAGGCTGCACATGCTAGTCTAGCAGCTGATGATTGGCTGCGTGATTTGTAACACTCATATATCCTGATTGTGCCGAGGTAGAGGTAAACATGACTGACTGAAATTTGAGGCTTGTGAGAGAACTGAAGAGCAAGTAGCACTAATGGGAGAAGTAGTACCATTTCATTCTCTTCCACACTCATCACAGGCTCTTCATTTTTGTTTCAGTTTAATCTCAGTAAAAGGTTTTATTACTTCCTCGCCTTGGAATCCTTTGAAGGAAGGTTCACCAAGTAGGAATTTCCAATCTCTTTTGTTTCCTTAGCCTTCTCAAAGTGGACTAACCTTCCTTTCTGGTAGCAACCACATTCTGCTTCCTCCTTCCGGAATAGGTTCCTCTCTATGTCAGTGATTTAACTGCCTGTATAGTTCAATGGCTATTCAGTGGTGATTTTGACACTGGACATTTATAAATCAAACCATGGGTCACGTTCCACTCTCATTCCAGTTGTCTGTGTACAACTTTTAGACTCTTAATGTAAATCACATACTATAAAATCAAACAGTTATGAATCAGCTCATTAGAACCGGCTTCTCCTGGCCAATCTAATTTGTGCCACTAAAGAGAGTTTAAATTACAACAAAAATGACAGCCTTAAAGGCAGCTGGAAAAATCATTTACCAGTAGTTGAGAGATCTCTCAAGCCTTGAAGCAAGATGTGTACGTATATATTTGAGAGAGAGATGGTGAACAGTCATAAAAAGTTCTGTGAACACTCTTCTATACTAAGCTGTATAGCTGACTGTTCTGTTACTAGATATCACAGAGGAGTGTGTAGAAGAAGTGCTTTACAGAAAGATGATTGTGTATGGTGGAAGCTCCGTGAACTAAAAACCATATCCAAAGTACAATTCCTTGTTTAAATGAACCCTTTTAAAGCATCGCTTGGGTTTCACATATAATTCACTTTGACCTTTAGTTAAAGGCCCACCTCTACTAGACAACTGATTTTTAGAGCTTGGGTGGCTGCTGAACAGAGATTCCACTGTATTGCATTTTTTAAATCTATTGTTATAACCTTAATATATTTTTCCACGGGTGTCACAGGTCGAATCTGCAGATGTTCTGGAAGCTGTATCTTGGGCTTAGTTTTTTCTTTCTTCTTATCTTCAATCAACTAAAACCAGAACATTTACATTAAAAATTTGACATACTATCCTTAGAAAAACATTTTAATATCTGATATCTATACCATTCCCTTCACTGTTGCATCTGATGAACACCCTGTTCTTACCACATAAAACAGGACAACTTATTGTAGTGATTTAGAAGTCATTGTAACGTACTTCTAGGTTTTAGCTAAAATTCAGAATTAAATCAATTTCTAAAAGGCTAAATATTGCTGAGTTATTCCAACTCAGCAATATTAATTGCTGAGCTAATTATGCCATCTGTTCTATAAAGGACTGTAAATATATCTTATATGACCACAAACCAAAGATTAATACATGCCGAATACAAACATTCACCTATAGAAACAATATTTAGAGTCTGTCATACTTTTTAGCTATAGCTCTGTTAGCACTGTGCAAAGGGTGGGATGCTTAACTGACCATGGCTATCCAGGGTGGATGGATGGAGAAGCTTGGAGGACCAAAGAATTCAAAGGTACTAACTTGGATGCCTGGAGGGATTTGCAAAATTACCAAAGCAGATTAAGCACTTCAAGCCCCACTGAAACCAGTGTATTTATAATTTAATTCAGGGGCTGCACTGATCTGCCGTTTAGCAAAAAAAATCATGATTTCAAATGTAATATTATTTGCTACTACCTTCTAATATCTAAACATCACTGAGAACAGACATCTCTTTCCAAATATTTTAGTTTGCTGTAAATTTCCCCACTGAAAATTTAATTAGCTAGAACCTTTTCCCCTTGATTTTTAAACTACCATATGGATAGACAAAGGGGAAATATTTTCCTGTCAATATGCATCTAGTTCTTGTTAACACCATTGGGAGTTATGTTTATCAAGAAAAATATATCAGAATACGCATAGCATATAAATTACTACTTGCCATATTTTATTCAGGGGAAAACTGGAACTTTGAAGCCATCTTAAAAGTACTGCATTTGTTAACTGGGAACCTAACTTATTAAAGCATGCTCAGCGCTCTTCTGCAGTTCCATGTTTTCTTCATTTTGTGTCCAGATGGGGATATAAGAAAATATAGCTTAATCAAAAGTTGTATTTAATTATTCTAGGTAAAACATGCAAGTAAATTTCATGTGTTGCTATATTCTAATCAATTTTACCTCTTCAAGAGGTGTTGTTAAAAATCCCCATTTCTGAGACCATCTTCTTGCAGCTTCTAGTTCACTTGCAATGTATTTTTTCCTGAAGCAGAGAGACGTTTGAAAAGATTTAGCAATTTTTTTTTATTTAAACAAAACCTAGCAACTAATGTCACCAAAGCAAAGCCCTTTAGGATGAAGCTTCAGACCTCTACCTCAAAACAGCAAGATCATGACTGTCTTACTCAGAGATAATGAGGAAATATTTTCCATAGGTTGGAAGCAGTAAGCCTGAACACACTTCTTCTCAGATTACACTTGTGTTAGATTTGGCGGTTGGAAGAGGTATCAGTTGCTATGACACCCTTTTTGAAAGACTTGAGAAGCAGGAACCCCAAACGCTTTCATATAACTGCTGGTTACTCCCTTTACTATTCCACTTGCCATTTTCATACCTGATGCGATGACTGTCCCCCTCCTTGCCCTAGGCCCCGCTTCCCATTGCTCGCAGGGGTTGGGGTACGGGGAAACCCCAGTGCGCTTGGGCAGCGGCAGCTGCCACAGCACCTTCGCCTCTGTGATTCAGGGCTAGGCTACTTGAGGAGATTAAAACAATTAGGCGTCAGGCTAGTTAGATGCCTTTTGAAGGGGCCCCACGCGGTATGGGGAGCACCAGGCTTCACAAATACAGACGGAAGAATATACGGGCAAACTCCTTCGCCCTGAGCCCTGCTGAGAGAGGGGCCCCGGGGAGAGGCAGCCCTGGCCGGCGGGCGTGAAGGGCGGGCCGGGGGCGTTACCAGGTGTTGTCCTGCGCTACGAAGTTGCACG